AAATGAAACACTAAATCTGGATAAGTGTGTCTGTCTGTGACACACACACACACACACACACACACACACACACACACACACACACACACACACACACACACGTCGTTGAAAGACGCACACACTTTGGTTGAGAGAGTATCATGAACTGCTGCAGCATCTCAAACCTTAATCTGCACTTCAAGAGRAGAGATATTATCAAGTTTATTAGACTTTGAATAGGAACTATTGCTAACAGACGTGCTGCACTACAGTGTTCAGTGAAGCGTGCTGTTACTGATGAACCCACCCCCAAACCTTCCATCACTCTTCTCATCCTGTTCTCCGTGCTTTCTTTCAGCTCCTTATCACACTTTCTTTTTTCTCGCCTGCTTGTCCCCACTCCAAATCCCTTCYCGATTCTTCTGCCTTTTCTAAATTCCCTGCTCACCTTCTCCTCCTGTCTCTCTCAAGCCTCCTTTTATGAGCTCCTCTACTTTCGTTTTTCACTTCTTTTGTCCTCATTTCTCCCCCTCTCATTATCATTTCTGTCTCTGTTTTAATCCCACGTTTCTTTTACTTCTTCAATGCCTACTTATCTTCCCAACCCTTGCCCTCCTACCTACTTTCTCCTACCCCCCCTTGTCTCCCACTAATTTTTTCCTTCTCTTGGCAGTGTTCAGCCTGTTGTTCCATTGTGCCTACTGGGGCCTGTATGCCAGAGATGGAGTTGGCAATTTCAGTCTAAAGATTCTTGGTGAGTTTCTTCCTGAATCGGTCACTGGCTGAATGACTGACACCAGCTCCACATTGGTAAATCACTCACAGCTCGAGCAGAATGGATGAGTGGACGATGATGGATGGATGTGAGCCTGGAGAAATAAAATGGCTGGTTTGATGGGCGGAGGCAGGATCATGCATGACTTGTGTGACTGCGTTGTGTGTGTGTGTGTGTGTGTGTGTGTGTGTGTGTGTGTGTGTGTGTGTGTTTGTACAGTATGTGTATGCTGACCTGATTTTATTGTTCCCCTCTGATTTTTCAGATTCAGATGCCACAACCTAATTACCCCTTCTGTCTTCTGTTTCTTTTTCCTGCCTCTCTCTCCACCTCTCTGTCCATCTCCAGGGAAATTACTGTTCTCCATCAGCTTCTTGGTGTTCCTTCTGATGCTCATTTTATTGGGCAAAGGTTTCACTGTCACCAGGTGCCTTATTTATTAWTTTATTTTTTTACATGCATGTGTTTGTGTTTGTGCAGCTGTTCCCTCCTGTTTTCCGTGCGTCGTTTCATGCACGCCTGTCACATTTTGGGAGCATTTTACAGTCTTCCACTGTCAGGTTTCTTTGTTGCTGTCTCTTGACATGATAATACCACGTGYCAATCAAAAAACCTGTTATGATTCTGAGCTTATAGTGTGGATGAAGCATATCAATGCTGCAATTTTGTGCCCTTTGCTTATTTTGAAGCATTTTGAGAGTGGTATTATCTCCAGTTTTGGTTTGGCTTTTTTTTATTGTTTGTTTGTTTCTCTGGCAAGGCTTAGTGGTCATTTGTTTGAGACTGGCAGCTAGACCGCACAATGGATTATTTATGAGAGCCTGTTTTTCTTTTTTACTGGAACATCAGCACTTATCCATCCTACACCTGACTGGAAAAAAATTGCTGTCACTGTTCATGCCAGTTCTCAAAATCTAGTTTCAACTTTCAAACTGAAAAAAAAACAAAAAAAACAAACAACAACAAAAAAAACATGCTATCTCTTCTTCAGATTGGTTTCAGATTTAGTTTTATGTCAGGAAAGAGACAGTGAAACAATCAGACATCTTAAAACATCAAAATCCTAAAATGTGATTTTATAAAGTTTAGAGTTTGAGTTGTGAGTTATGACCTAAACCCCAGCTGAGGTTTAAGATTCGTCTCACTTTGCAGTTGATTCTCTAAAAGAATCAGACTGAGCATAAACCTGAACTTGCAGGATTTTTAATAAGTTCTAGCGTTGAGATTACATCCATATCTGTGCTTAGAGATTTCTTTAATATTTATACATATTAAACTCATTAAAAGCTCTAGTGAATAAACTGAAAACTGCAACTTAGAATATACCTTACAAGATAAGATTGCAACTAGAAGAAAACTACTCAATAAGTATTTTTTATCTTTTGATAGGTATGTTGGAGGAAGTCATGGACTTAGTGTTGAAGTTCTAACATTTGAAAGCTGATGCAAAGATGCATTCTTTTCCTCTGTTGCTTTGTTCATCTGCTGCTATCAGTTTGGTTTAATAGCTCTCTGCTTAAGCTTAATTAAATGCATCGTTTTGTGTGTTTGTGTCCATCTTTATCTCGTTCTTTTCATCCATACATTTGAGTGTATAGATGTGTATTTGTTTCTTATCTGCCACCAACATGTGTGCAGCCTCTGACCTTTCTGCTTTGTCCTTGTGTGTCAGGGCGAGGATCAGCCACAGTGGGTCTGTTAAATTAAGCATCTACATGACAGTCTACACAATTACCTACGTCATTCTCTTCATCTACGAGGCTGAGGTACAGAACACACCCATATAGTTAACACTGAGGCCAAATCATTGAATTATTATAGATCAGTACGAGGGCTGCATAATACAGTATATCAAGAATATACTGTCATTGAAATATCGGTGTGCGCAGTATTCATATCACAAAGAACTKCTTGGAGTGTAGAAATTGACTTATGTAGTATCGAAAAGTTTTGAAGTTGTATTTTTCATGCTAATTCAGTCTTTTACCAGTAGGACAGTTTCATGGCAGCAAAAGCTCACACCAGACACAAATGAGCTTGCCAAAACTCTAAAGGTCACATACAGAGTAGGAAGTACAGATTAGAAAGGAAAGAAATAAAAAAAAACATATTGATGTCATCACAATATTTACACATATTATTGCCATCACAATATTTTCTAATATCATGCAGTCCTACTCAATTTTCTTATTTCATGTAATCTATTTGGTGAAATATTTATTTATTCTGAATGATGCTGTCTGAATTATTACCATCCTTCAATTTCGAGCTTAAAAATTAGATAGAATATCCTAACTACTATACGTATATAAACAAAAAGAAAATGCATTAAAGTCTTGCTTCTAATTTTCTTTTCCATATGGMAAAGCAATAAATCTGCCTGAGAATCAAAAATGTTTTTATCAAAAAACATCTGTTTGATTGTTTCAAAATAAACTCCTGCTTCAGCAACTCGTACCAGCGTTCTGACTCAGTTCAGTTGAATTCATTTTATTTATGTAGAGCCAAATTACAACAGAGGTCATCTCAGGGCAATTTGCAGGGAAAAGTAAACAAGTTAATTAAAGTCTAATTAAATGCAGTCTAATTTAACCTGCTATGCTTTCAGCATGTGAAGCTTGGAAGAAACTTCGTGAGCTGAGTGCGAAGAACAACACAAGACTTAAGGCTGAAATGGAATTATCTGAAATGGTGCTTTCAGCTTGTGATAATACTAAAACAAATAGAAGTCCACAGAGAAATGCCAAGGAGAGCAAATCTACTAAAGGAAAAATGCAATAAGGCAGGGCTTTTGTTTTATTTAGATCTCAGTCTTTCTGGTAAAAAAAAATCTTCTGATTCAGAAAACCACAACATGAGCTCCTGTGAAAGAAGAGGTGGAATCTGTTGGTTTATAGGCAATAAAATTGAGCCTGCAAGGACAAGAACCTTCTTCTCCAATAAAACAGATGGAGATTTTAAACTGCAGATGCTTTGATGCTAGGAAGAGAGTCAAAATTAATAATAAAAATGATAGATAATAATCAATAACTAAAATAATTATTTTTAGAGCAAAGACAATAAGATTTAAAAACTGTGGGTCTTTAAAAGGGACTTGCCTTGTAAAATCTACTTGGTGCATAAAATTTGAAATAAATCTCTCCCAGTGCTGCGTATATCTTTATATTCTGTTTGGGTCATATTTTTCAACTTGTTCGGTTTTCTATRTTACTGACAAGTTCAAAAAGAAAAGATAGCTTTCTACACTCGAACCTGAAAGCTTTTTAATCCAATTGAGGGTTGATTTAAGACAAAACTTGACTTAGTTATTAGTCATTAGTGTTTTGTGTCTGACTTATCTAATATGTTAAATGTTTGATAATATGGTTTTATTGCAACTTTAAGGTTGTTGGCTTTTAGGTTCACGTTTATGCAATCAACTGCCTCGCTTCAGCCWCTCAAAACATTTTGGGCAATACAAGTTTATAAAACATTTACAAAACAATACGTTTGATAACATAATTTAACAATGTTAAAATTGTAATGGGTGTTTTTTCACCATTGATTAATATTTTCTTTTTTGGGAAAACGAGTAAATCCAAGGAGCAGTCGGAATAACCAGTGCCACCAGTAACACTTGCAGTATGAGCCTTGGCAGCCAAATAAATCTTTGMTGTGTGGATAGTTTTACAAAACAGGTAGGATTCGTTCCCATTTTTAAATAGGTTTTTCCATTACTCGGGTCCCAATTCTTTTGTAGCAAGTTTTCTGACTTGGCAGTGCTCAACAGAGCAGCCCCACTCATGTTATAGCTCTCTTTGGCTTTTTTTWAAATAATCTCATAAATATTCATGAAGGAATGAGCACCACAGTTGAGCGTGGGCTGTAATGGCTTTTTCTGTCAAGCAACTCATTACATTGACTTATTGCTAATTATGAAAGTGCATCAACTTCAATGTAGAAAAATCCATACATTCCTTTGGGTTCAGAATCTAGGATTCTGGTAGAAAAWCAGTGCATTTTCAATCACACAAGAAAAATTCATGTATGTTTAACTTTAGATCAATGATCTCTACTGTAAGTCTCGCACAGTGAGAGACCTCCACTCATTAACTACACTGCTTTTTTATGTTCTGTGTGTGAAGATAGGAACTCACTTTACCACCTATGTTGCTGAGCACGTGAGCTTATGAATTAATAACACTCTGTGGAGTTTTAGGAAGCACGTACAGTATATCTCTGAAGAGTGCAGAGGCTTCTGCACAGTCAGATGTAAAGCTGCTGCTTTTAGAAACAGAGGATTAGAGCCTTTGAATACAGGGTGGTAATGATCCTAGAAGAAGAGTGTTGTGGAACTGTCTGTGCTATTTTTAACATTGGTGCATACAACCATCTCTCACAATATGTGGTTCTGATACAGTAGGAGTTATCTGCCGCCTGTCCTCTTACACAGAGATGCTCTTACAGAGGTTGAAACTCAGGGGAACTCCTAAAATAAGCAAAACTAGGTTACAAGTGGAACTGGAATGGAGACTCTAAAAATGTTACTGGTACTAGGGCTGCAGTTTGGAATCCGTCAGGCTCTGCTTGGCTGGGTTGTGTTCCAAGAAGCTCCACACTGAGCTTTCAGCACTTTGCATTATGTAGTAAGAGTAATGCAGTACGGCCCGTGCGATTCAGTCACCGCACTGTGAAACGCAATCCAGTGTGTGCGCGCGTGCCAAACACACACCCACAAAGTTGTGAGCACACATGCCGGTGACCTAGATGTGGAGAAGTGTCAAAGACAAAGACGGAACGGAACAAGCTGGGCTTTTTTGGCTCGGTCTCTGCAGTGAATCAGCTGAACCAGGAGCGATCTGTCTTTGGAAGCAGGACGCAGGCTACAACTAGATGTCAAGCCAACACTTTTTTTTGTCTTCTCTGTGGAAAACTTTTGCTTGTGTTTAATGGGTCTCGTGTTTCTGTGCCAGTTTTTTGACCCAGGTRAAGTGCTTTATGTCTACGAGAGCCCCGCTGGCTACGGCCTGATGGCCCTGCAGCTGGTCGCCTACGTGTGGTTCTGCTACGCCGTACTGATCTCCCTGAAACACTACCCTGAGAAGCAGCCCTTCTACATCCCTTTCTTTACCACGTACACTTTATGGTGAGACCTGAGCAGCTTGCCTCCACTCTCGCCTCGCTGCAGGCAGTAACACCTGAACTGGGAACTGCAGGAGAAGAAAAATACATGTTTTTTTTTCTTACCCTGAAATTTAAATTATTTATTTTGCTCTGTAAACACCATGTACCAAATCTCAGTTCTCTACCACAGTTATAGATATCTTTACTTGAGTGATAGCCAGAGGAAAATAACTTATTTTTAAGAACCATTGTGAATTTATGGATCAGAGTACTATGCACATAAATTTATATACACATACTGGTATGCACTAGATTATTCATATTTTGTACTGAAAACAGTGTTYTTTTCTTTATGCAACAAAATAAAACCCTCTAAACACACATTTCTTAGTTCCCATCCCTTTATTCATAATGTCTAATAGTGGAGGCTTGAAATGAAGGGTGCATTTCAAAGACTAATATTATCTCTGCGTTTCTCCTTCACTGCAGTGCATATCCCTTGCCTCATTATCTACACCTCTCCTTTCCATCATTATCACTCTGTGCTTTATATCTTCTGCTCTCCCTACTCTCCGTCTCTCACCATTAAACCATATTCTCATCAGTTCATTTAATGTGCGTTCACCTCATTGTTATCCTGAATCTGCTCTCTGCCGGTCTTCCACAGGTTTTTCGCAGTGCCCGTCATGGCTCTGATTGCCAACTTTGCAATTCCTCGTTGGGCTCGAGAGAAGATCGTCAACGGCATTCAGCTCGGCATCCACCTTTATGCTCACATCGTCTTCCTTGTTGGTACCACACACACGTGTTCAAACATGCCTCTACACATCTGTAAAGTTCGCATTATTCAAGAGCTGTCGTTATCACAGTCGATTGTACATTATTCATGATTCGTGAATCCTCAGTTCATCATTTTGAAAGTCTACTCCACACATCATTATCTTAACCTTCAAATGTTCCTTCATAGTTGTGCTCATGACATGTTTTACCTCTGAATTACCAGGATTTTATTTGCTTTGATTTTGATTTTGTGTGTAAGAATCATTTTTTGTGTCTTAGGTCATTACAAGACCGTCAGCAGCCAACAAAAATTTCCCATATCATGTTCGGACATCTCAGATTGGGATTCTTTTGTCCAGTCCAAAAGGAGGTGAAGGGGGTGAAAGGTTYCCCCATCATGCTTATGGAAACAGCTCCTTCCTTGGAGACTCTCAACCCAACTTCACTGAACTCTTCTCCATACAGTCAGTAAGTCTACGTGTAACATGTGTTTGTGTCTGTGTCCAAATTCAGGGGCTGCATCCTTCGAAGAACAATAATAAAACATGTCTATGCAAATAACAAAAGCCTAACAAAACTGCTTTAAACTTTCAGTTTTTGTACCAGATTTTAATTTAAAACTGTACTCCATCCATCTTTAAGACCACCACCACAACTGATCCTGTTCAGRATTACAAAAATGAACTAAAACTTGTTTCCAGTGTGGGTTGGACTCTGTAAGGTTGCCCTTTGTCACCAATTCTGTTCATAACTTTTATGGACAGAATTTCTTGRTGCAGCCGAGGTGTTGAGGGGATCTGTTTTGGTGACCTTAGGATCACATCTCTGCTTTTTGCGGATGATGTGGTCCTATTGGCTTCATCAGATCATGATCTCCAGCTCTCACTGGAGCGGTTTGTAGCCGACTGTGAAGCGGCCGGGATGGGGATCAGTGCCTCCAAATCCGAGATCATGGTCTCGTGAAAAGGGTAGGGTGCCTTCTYCAGGTCGGKGAGGAGGTCCTGCTTCAAATGGAGGAGTTTAARTATCTCGGGGTCTTGTTCATGAATGAGGGAAGAATGGAGCAGGAGATMGACAGGCGGATTGGTGCTGCGTCTGCARTGATGGACCGATCTGTTGTTAGMTCAGCTCTCAATTTACCGGTTGGTCTACATTTCTACCCTCATCTATGGTCACTAGCTTTGGGTAGTGACCAAAAGAACAAGATCATGGATACAAGCGGCTGAAATGAGTTTCCTTTGCAGGGTGTCTGGGCTCTCCTTTAGAGAGAAACTGATCTGATTTGTCAAGTTTTGTGACATAAAGTTCCAGGAACAAGTTGCATTTAAATACAAGCATTAAAATAAAAAGTATACTGAGCCACAACCCCTGTGTCCTTAAATTCCTATAATCCTGTTGTACCTGCTATGTTATCAGAAACTGTCTCATGTTTACTTATTTTCTGATGGGTTTTATACGTACACGCCACTGTCAAATGTAGCTTGAAATTAACTGTTATCTATCAGACACGCCTRAAATTAGAAAGCATGAGTGTAGCAGTGGAGTTTGTAAGAGTGTGTTTTTAATGATTGTTGCTTTGTCAGAAACTTCAATCTGCTTCAGGGGGTGATGGTTGAATGATGCTCTGCAAAATCTAACAACCACCCTGATATTAAAACATCTGAGTGAAATTGGGTAACATTTCATTAGAAACTCTGACACGACCAAATTAAGCTGTTCGATATGAACGGTCTTGCTTGGATACCTTTTGATTCTGTAGGTGTTGTCTTTTCAACTGCCTAAAAAAAAGGCGGAACTACAGCTGTCCTGAAACGATGTAGCATGAAGGAACACCTTAAATGYTTTGCACAAAAGTGAAAACAAGACAAAATACTATTTTACAATGGCAGCATCTTTTAAAGCAAAGTGCCTAAAAGGCTATAAAACTTAAGCTGGGAGGTTATCAGTCTGATTGATTTAAAGTTAAACACAAGCGATGCTGCATGATGGATGATCTGTARCTGCTGGGGGACTACATAACTGGAAGAATTAGAAAATGGTGCATCTTTGCTTAGTAAATAACTCAGTTTCTGTGCCAGAAAAGGTTTTATTTCATTCATTGCCATGAATAACAGTAAGTACCAACTCATTTATTTGTATGCAATAGCACTCAAGAGGTGCTTTGTATTGATCAAAAAAAGTGACTACAGGGCAGATCGTAGGTTTTATTTACATGTCGACGTAGTTCAAGTGTAATTTATAAAAGGAACATTGTGTAAAGATGTGTGCAAAATCTGAGTATATTTGGCTCGTTTGTTTGTGAGCAAGTATATTTATTTGACAGATTCTGTGCATTATTGTAAAAAATGGTAAGAGATGCGTTTAATTTATTAAGTTATTTTTCCCCCCCAGGATCCGGTGAAGACAGTTGAGGAGACGGTGGCTCGCAAAGGTCAAGAAGTACCGAGGAACAGCGAGCAGAAGATCATTACCACCGCAGCGGATTTGACCTTGATATTGCCCCCACCTCCGCCTCCGATACCCCCACGCCCAGCCTCGCGCACACCCCCAATGCCGCCTCGGCTCCCTTCTTTCACGGAGTATTTCAGCATGCAGAGTGGCGGTGGAGCAGGTTTTGGAACGAAGGCGTGAGATGGACAGAAAGGCAAAAAGGTGGAAGAACGGTAAAAGACATGAGAGCAGCAGAGAGAATGTCAGTAGAAAGTGAGAACATGGGCAGTCGGTACAAATCCAACTATCAAAAAGGTCATCCATAAAAGAAAAATTGGAGCGACAGAAAAGAAAAGTAAGGAAATAAAACCCTAAATGTTCCCCCTTTATTTTTTCTTTTTTTTTTTTTTTACTTGTGAATGGAAATGACTAAAATGGAGAGATAAGGGGACATAGCTGAGATACATGYGCTGAGCTTTCAAAAGAATAAAGAAGCAATAAATATTTGATGTTGACCAGTTGAGGGTGCACAGTGAGAAAGATGACAAGGTGGATGTAGCCAGAGCAATAGAACAGCTGTGCACAATGTGGAAATGAACAAAATTCTTGAAATCTTTTCATTCAAAAATTCATGAGGCTCCAACTTTGGTGTGCCTGCAAGATTTTGTAAATAGCTAAAACTGTTGGGAGCGTCGATTCTATAGTTTTTATTTCAAAAAAGGAAATAAGATTTGTTTTGTTTTTGTTTACTCGCATCATTACATTCTAGTTGGTGCTGTGAGCACAGCAAAAATGTCACGCCATTGTGTATATAGCTCATCGATGAACATTTTTTTAAATGTTTGACACATTTTGATAAAGTTTAGATATATTTATGGTATATGGAGTTTGTTGGGTTAATTTCTATACTTGCTGTATATGCCTTCATTGCAGCTGGTTATTTTGGATTAATGTGCTGGTGTGAAACTGTAAAACTGTCACATTTACTGTGGGTGCCTACTAGTACAGTACCCGTAAAACATGCATGTTTGTATTGTATTGTACTTCCTGTCCAAAAACAGATGTGTGTACTCCATGTGACCAACAAATATTTGCTTATTGTGTGTATTGTAACTTCAAATGTGTAAATACATACAGTAGGCTTCAGTATATATATTTTTGATGGCAGAATTCCTTTTAGTTGTTCCAATCAAAKCTGTCTCGTGCTGTTTGAAACCCAATAAAAAGCAGGTGTTATAAACTGCGTTGATTTTAGGTAAATTTTCACTAAAGTGCAGGATATACCTGTTGAAACCTGTCGTCTGTGTATGTGGACGTTGGTGAATGTATCGATTCAAGACAGCACAAAGGCAGGGCTGATTCTGAAGTTACTCTGATACCATTAACTATTTTAGCTTTCTGTTGCTTCCATTCACAGCAYATTGATGATCTAGGACCAGGCTTTTCACCAAAAGTAACTTCATCCTCACCCCTGTCTTGTACCTGAAACCTGATTGTTTTATTTGTTGGCTTTTTACACGTCAGTGTTGTACAGTGCAGAAAGCTGAACAAATACCCTCAGTTTTGTATTGCGCTAAGAGATAAAAATGTTAAAGTCTTGCAGCTGAACTGTGAAAAACAGCGACACAACTGTACATTTTGTCTGTCCTGCATGGAGCACTTTAATGTTCCTGGTCTGTTTTATTTGTGATGTCAGCCTTTTGAGACTGCTTTATTTCCACTTCTCTGAGAGCTATTCCAGATGTAAATACAAACAGAAGACATCGCCAGTTTTCTAGATGCTATATAGGGGAACAATTAATGCTTYGTTCAAATTGTTAAAATTTTCGGAACGTACACTGATAATCCCAGTGGTTTTACCTTGACTTAGGAGAATAGCCCACAGATTTGTCAGTGGAAGTCTTGCTGTCATGCAGTACCGATTTTAAGACTGTGGTGTGTAACGTGTTGGAGTGTAGTCTGAGGTGTAAATTAGTCTGTGGAACGGAACCATACTTGAGTTTAGAGTACTAATCGTTATTTCTGATTACGTCTGGTTTGTGTTTGGCATGTCTGCCGTTTCAACTGTTGCCACGACTCGACAGGCTTTATTGATAAAGTATCACTGCTTCAGCCTTGTGTATACTGATGTTTAACTACAAGAAAGAMACAAAGTCTCTAGGAGAGAACTCGAAGAAATTAGATTATGTATGCATGACAGAAAAGAGCACAGCTTTTAGGAGACTCAGAGCGATCTGATTAAGAGCACATCACTAAAGCACCGTTTAAATGCATTTTAATGGTGTCAAATAATAAATCTAAATACGCTGTACATATACTCTTTTTGCCAAAATGAATAATAAAATATGGTTTTATTAAAGATCTTGTCTGGTTGTTATTTACACCCTGTGTTAATAGGGAGGTTGTTTTGCAGGAATGGCATAAGTCCAAAAGTGGTAAATCTAATATATGTAAATCATTTATTTAGAGTTTATTCATATTASTGAGGGTGTACTAAAGAAAAATGCACTGGGGACAGTCTCCAGTCATATCCCTTTCAGATCCTGGCAGGCCTTACAGTTCCACTCACTGCCAGCATTTCAGTCTGATTCCTTTTAACTATAAACTTCATAAATGATTCATTTCCAGGGAAATTACATATTTTGATTTAATTTATGGTACAAATTTATGGTAAATTCCCTTTTTTATTAGTATGCAAGGCTCTTTGGTATTAAGTAAAAACACTGATATGTAAGGAAATGTGCACATCTGTGGAGACACCATAGGTTATAGTAAAGTACATTTACTCCATTACAGCACTTAAGCATTATTTTCAAGGATCTGTAATTTTTACCAAGTATTTTTTTAAATTAACTTTTACTTTTATTCTGTCTCATTCAAAACACAAAAATTGTACTTTTACTTAACTTTAAAATTTAACATCTCATTACACGACAAATTTAAATATGACCATAATTTATGAAAGGGCTTTTATGCACTATAAACAATGAGGTGTTGGATTTACCAAACCAAGTTATGTCAACTGGTTCCATTAAACCTAGTTTAGCAAATTAAGCAATTTACACTTTTCTTAAGAAAATTTGTAAATTGCTTTAACTTGGTTAAGTGTGTGTAAAAGTGCTTTTACTTTACCGATGGTTGTGAACACTTTTATGACTTGGTTACTTATCTGTGAAATTAATTTTTGAGGTATTTTTCTTTTTACTTATTTCTAAGCACYTGCACCTCTGAATTACACTAAAGCACTTCAAGACAAAAGACCATTTAATCCACASACTGTGGCATGAGAAGTAGATGTGTAATTAATAATGGTGACAAAAAGCTGTTGTAGTGTTAATACTAATGTCTGCACCTGTGCTCCTGCAGTGACTTGTTCTTTATGCTTCCTATTCAAATGTCCATAATAAATAATAGCACATGACATGAATGTTTAGGCACAAGAATTATTATTGTTTTGTTATAGGTCAGGTAATAAATGTCATTTTGCATTTTWTTGCAACCTTTTTCAATTACCATGTGTCACTTTTCAAAGCAGAGGACAGATTTATATGAACATTTCATTCGTAGACAGGAGGTGGTGTTAGTAACACTTGATTTTGTCGTCTGCAGAGGTTTGTATCATATTAGCCCTCTTTTGTGCTTGAGTGCTTTTGATCTTCCACTAAATTTGCTAACCTTGTGTTTGGAAGTAAGCATTGACCCGAAGCCTCTCTGTTTTATGGCTGCCTAACGTTATTCCCCATTCCTGCCAAACTAATTTGGTTCTCAAAAAGTTTCTCTAAAAGGTTTTTTGATCTGCCATGGCACAAAGCAGCATTTGAATGAATTCCAAGTAAAGTGATTTTATTTGAAGAAGCATCAACACAGGATCATGTCTAACATATTTGAAGATAACAGTTTAAGTTCTGAACCAAAACTAGAGGAAACTATGCAAAACAAGCAGAACCTTCACATCGGTGGGAAGGTTTTCAGAGGCTTTAGGTGTATTATATAAAAAATTGGATGGAACATTGTACCTGTAGGCTTAATTCATATGTTAATTTCCTGTCCAAAACCCTTGAAATTGACCTCTGTCTCTTTAAGAACCTCATACCATTTCTGACACTCCCACTTCAGCATGTCTTCGTACGTCATAGGGGTGAACTCTGCTGCAGACTGAGCTCCAGGGAGGAGCTTTGTACCAGCAAGTGTTAAGGCAGCTCCAAACGGCTACAACAGGTTTTAATAATTTCTCAAACATGCATGAGYGAGTCAAAGCAACACTCTGTCAGGGTCTGTGTGTTTGGATTTTATTTCTGTGGTTCTTTGTGTACGTATTAGTTTTTAGCTCCTTTCCTTTTGTCTCTCTCTGTGCCATTTCTCATTCCACCTGCTTCTCTGTATTTTTCCAGTTAGTCACTCTGTAATCATTCTCCCTCCCAGGTGTTGTCCATCTTCTCTCTCTCTCAGGATAACCGATCTCTTGCCATCACTTTCTTGCTGGTTCATTGCTGGTTTTCTACCATCATTCTCAGTCCCCCAGCTGCTGCCCAGCTTTGTGCAAGATTTTTGCCACCATGTCGGCTTTTGCTTTTTGTTATTTAAATAAATACGTTTTTTTTTTTTTTTTACTGGATGCATCTCAGTAATCCAGGTAGAAAAAATCAAAAAGAAAAAATAAGTAGGTCCTCTGGATGGGTTCTGCTTTGGTGAAATGTTTCGTCTCTCCTCCAAGAGACTTGGAGGAGAGACAGGACAACTGGACACGAAGGCCTCCACCTCTGTTTAATGGTGGACGTTTTTTCTTCACAAAGATGGCTTCCTTTACTCCTCTCTCAAACCAATGTTCCTCTCTATGAGAACATCTTCATCCCTGAAAGAGTGACCGCTGGCCTGTAGATGAGTGTAAACTGCAGAGTCCTGACCCGACGATGTAGCTCGTCTGTGCTGGCTCATTCTTTTGAACAGTGGCTGTTTTTGCCGGGGAACTGGATCTATGGGATGAAGTAATCTTTGTCGTAACGTGTTTTGGGGTTTGAAAGCCACTGGGACGTCATGTTTAGAGAATAAACGTCTCAGTTTCTCTGAAACTCCCGCCACATATGGAATGACGACTGGTTTGGGTCTGGTTTTAGGGTCTTCATTTTCAGCTGGTTGTTGGCTGGAATCCTGTTTGGGTTTCTTATCTGCTTTCAGAAAAGCCCAGTCAGGATAACCGCACTGCTTCTCTTTCACTCTGGCTCCTGTGTTTGTAGGGACACTGTCTGCTCTGTGGTAGAGTCCTGATCACTCCTAACTTGTGTTCAGACTGAGGAAGTCTCTTGGAGGAGAGACGAAATGTTTCACTAACAAAGAACCCATCCAGAGGACCTACTTATTTTTTTCTTTTTGACATTTTATTTTTATATTCTGGGTATGTTTTTGACAAGGGAATGACATAACATGATATAAAGCGCAAAAAAGGTCAATTTTGCAGAACATACCCTATTTAATCAGTGCAAAATGATGTTACTCCTTCTGCCATGCTTTAAAGTAGAATCTTCAACCCTGTTCTTTGTGACCTATTGTCCTGAATGTCTTAGATATCCCCCTGCTTCAACACACCTGACTAAAATGAATAAGTGATTGACAGACCTCTGCTAAACTTGATGACATTAAGAGTAGGTGATTTAGCTATTTGAATCAGGTGTGTTGAAGCAGAGAAACAGCTAAAACCTGCAGGACAGTTGATGTTTGTTAAAAGCAGGAGGAAAGTGCCAAGCTTTCAGAAAGGTTTTATATCAGTAGTTGTGTCTGTTCACCTCTTGTCACTGTGACTTTAGTAAACACAAAGTGTTGTGGTTTAGACAAGTGACAGCAAAAAATGCAATTGCACTCTTTCACATAGTAATAGTATAAAATAAAATGTTTTACAGTATTTTGTTGTTGGCTCCAAAAAGAAAAGCTTTTAAAAAAAAACAAAACTACACAGAAAGCTCTGCTTGAGTGTTACTGGACCCTGCCAGTTCCAAGCTCGGATAAACGAGGAGGGTTTAATGTATTTCACCAAACGTAACTGTGATTTGCAGCAGGAACTATGGATAGAAGATAATGTTCTAGCTAATTTCCATCTCTGCCTGAAAATGAATTGAAATCTTTTCCCTCCATGACATTACAGGAAAAAAATAAATGTGATTGTGGTTCTATATGTGCCGTTCTAGGCAAATCATTAAAATTATAAACAATTCTATTTATTTCAATTGTACTTCTCAACAATATTTGGTATTTTTCACCCACCTTTATCTTTCATACAGCCTGGATCACAATAGCATTGAAATGACCAAATGTTAGGGGCTGCACGATAAAAACAAAACAAAAAAACTATGACATAACAGTGCTTAATACTGCGATGACGATATSACTTACGATAAATGAACAAATACATAAGTATGTAGTGTTAATGTCTTTCTGCTCTGGGTTCAGAAAAAAAAAAACTAATTTTCATTCCAACATGTATTTTATTATATGAAGTGATCCATCCAATTGGCCAAATACATGAATGGCTCCATTTGATTGGTGAAATACTTCAAACTTCCATCTGAGTGACAAAACGCATAAATGCAAACTTTTGAGCCAACCATTTATTGTAGTTTCTGCAGCTTTTTTGTGATAYAGGCTACATAAAGCACAGGCCGTTATTGCAATGATGATAAATTTTCGATATATTGAGCAGCCCCACCAAATATGCAAAAAAGATGTCATCTAGCAATTTTTAGAACAGCATATATCTACCTTTCTTTCTGGGATGGCAACATGTTGTCAGCATAGAGCAGTTTTTTTTAGTTTTTAGGATGCATTTGTTTTAAGACAGCATAAATTTGAATGTTTACAACTTTGCATAGGTTAGTTCATTGAAAGAAAATCGTATCAGGACGGTTATTGAAAAACCAGAAATCGGTATCTACAAAAATAAGTGAACCGGTGCATCTCTACCAAAAAATAAAATAACTCTGTTCCTTCTTTTGTTTTTACAATGAAGACATCGTTGACACATTCAATCTTTTAAAGACAAAAATCATGACTTGGTTCCAACACGTCATCTTATTTTCCTAATTCCAACACAAAAAATATCTGAAGGAACTCATTTTGGTTCAATGAAGACATGAAAACTGCAACTGATAAGTTATTGAATCATTGTTTTGTATAATTTTAAATTTAAAAAATATATTTTTTTATTGGAAATCAATACAATTTTTCACCCAACAGAGAACAAGAGGCATATGATGTTTTTTAGTTACTTTATTGAAAATGAAGAAACCAGCCTCTGCTGCAGGTTTTACCATCTGTCTCACTCTGAAGTGCATCAGACCCTTTATGCACAACAAGAAGCATTTTTTTTTCACCATTCAAAAATCATTAATGTAACAATATGATGGTATTATTCATGATTTGCATCTATTTTTTTGAGCCCTGTCTTCTCTAAGGCCTCGAATCAGCTGGTTAATGAGAGTCAGATCGTTCTCCTTTTTTGCAGGAAACAGAGGTGGAAACGGGTGGCCTTTATACTCCAGAACGGCCATCTTGGCTCTGTCCAGGTTCTTTCTGTTAGGAATGCGCGCCAGCCGCGTGTAGCAATGCRAGTGATTTTCATAACGAGGGGCGAGGACTTTAAAAAGCTTTGGTACGAGGTCCTTTTCCTGATGGGGAGAGAGAAAAAAAAAGGAGCGAGTAAACATCAAATGAACTGTTTTACATTTAGATCTACCCGGATTGAAACTTTAGAGTTGCTGCAGACACGTACCGTGAGCCAAAAGCTGGCCATTTTCATCGCCTTCTCATCAGTATCTCCCTTCTTGGCATAGTCGATCAACTGGAAAAGATGGAGAAAAACACATCTATAGTCAGAACCACTCGCAGTCAGAGAATTTAAAATCAGAGCTTGCTGCATGGTTAACTAGTTCTATGTAAAAATATGCAGCGAGTAAAGATTTTTTTAGGGAAAAGCAGCACAGTACAGTAGTTTTCACACATCAAGCAACACTAGAAGATTCAGAATGAGGATCTTCTCTAATGACCAACACCGGGAGTCTGTGTGGTGTAAATATTTATAAGAACAACTTAATGTATCTGAGGAAAATAAATGAAACAAAAAGGAGAGTGTAGTCATCACACACTCAAGTTTTCTAGTAYTAGTACTCAAATAGAAATAAATATGTGCTCTTTATTAATGTTTCAAATATACAGAATAATAATAATACACACACTTAAAATAGGAAACCTGCATTCTCTGAATATAAACACTAAGTTTGTTGTCAGTTGTCAGCTGGAGAACAAGGATGCAGTAGGTTTGTCCAGCTGCAGACTCCGACACTGAACATCGTAACAAGTGGCAGATAACAGGGTTACAGATTAAAAAGAAAGTTTGCAGTCGGTTGAGTAAAATCGTTGCAAATTCCACAAGGATGAAAACCAAGTTTTGGGAGCTGATCACTTTAACAGAACCTCGAAGAGGTGGGAWTCCTCTGACTGGATCTCAGCTTTTAGACTCATAATGTGGAGTACAAGTCGGCAATGTTCAAACTTCAGAGCACAGAATTTGTTCAGTACTCCTCTTCTGTGAATTCCTGTGCAAGACCCCTTAAATTGTGTGATTGATTATATATATATATATTTATTAGGGGTGCAGCAATGCATGTACCCGTATCGAACAGTGCTGTATCGAACAATACAGATTTTAAAATTTTACTTTATCTTCATGTCTTCTGAAGATGCTCTGTGTTGAAGGATCAGTGGATCTGTGTTCGACTACTCYACCTAGGCTGCATTTTGAGCGCAGATCCACTGAGAAACTTGCTGTTTCAGCAACATTTAATTTAAAAAAACTGTACTTTGAGGTTAAACAAATGTTCATAATTAATATAAATAAATTACAAGTTAAAAGGGGCATGGAAATTTCTTTTTTTGTATCGAAAAAAATATCGAACCGTGAGACTAAAGTATCGAACCGAACATCTCAATGAGATATTTTGCAGACAGGGTTGACAATAAATTAATTTATTGTTTTAACATATACAGGTACTACTTTTCAAAATTTAAAAAAGGGGGCTACTGAAAGATTTCGTTATTGTAAGTTTACCTTTTCGGCGTAGAACTGGGCCTCGTCGGCTCGTGCATACGTGGTTTCTATTCTCTCGTATCGGACGAGTCCAGTCACAATGTTCCGAAGCATGTTTATCCGGGACTCCGGGTTCAGGCCCATTCTGCGGCCCTTCCGGCCGTGAGAGATCAGCAGCTGCAGCGTGAGGCGCATCTCTGGTCCGGTCGACTCACCCAGAAGAGTTCGGAAAAACAACAACCGGGAACACGAAAACTACGAACAGTTAACCGAACGACCTGTTTTTACGACGCGTTCACAAAGAAAACGCCACCAGGTGTCCTATATAAAGAACAAATTCTGAGATCAGGTATGCTAGCGGCTATTTTGCTGCTTTTGACATTGACAGTGCATCGTCAAATATGTCCGACTTTGTCACGAAACTAGGAAACACCAGTTCCGGTGTTGTACAAAATTCAGTTCCGCTGTGAAAATCTGTTCCCCCTGTGCTGGGAGGGCTGGACCAGCGATTCTCTCCAAAGTTAACCAGTAGGCGGAACAGCTTTTCACAGGGGAACTGGATTTTGTACAACACTGGTAGTGTTTATTTAAAGGGCCTATGTTATGTGTTTCTCAGGCATATATTTAAATACTATACCATAATAAAATATCTATGTCACCTTTAGCTGTTATTAAAATGTTGTTTTTATGTTTAAATGGAAAAACAAACTTATTTTCTCATCACTTCTTCTAAACGCCTTGATATTGCCCTGTCTCTTTAAGAACCTCCTTCTGCTTCTGTTCCGTCCCGTTGGGGGTGGGGGGGTGGGGGGGGGGGCATAGTAATTAATACGTAGGAACCTCGGTCCGCTGCTGTGAGTCTGTGCGTCCGCCATATTGGAGGTGGCACCGCTGCGCTGTGAACTACAAATGAATGGACTTTGTTTCATAAAGCACGTTAATACGGCACCCTCATTTATTCAAACACACACACACAATTTGAGAAAAACAGGTACCAAAAACAATGTATTAAAACTTCTTACAGGACTACAAAATACAACTTTATTGATCCCACACACAATTAATTTATGTTTCATAAGCTGTAAAGGTAAAGTAATGTAAAAATCAATTATGTTACACTTTGTATTATTATATGAATTGTAATGAATGAATTTAGGAAACCTATACAGAATTTAAAAAAGCTAAACACACAGAAACAACAGTCTAACAAAACGTTTGACTGAACTAATTTATTTATTCGTTATTTTATCTTCTGAATAAGGGATACAGTTGGTAGTAAGAACTTTCTTACAATCTTAAATTTTTGACAGTTTCATTCTGACCAGATATATTAACCCATCCATCCATCCATCCATTTTCTTCCACCTATCCGGGGT